ATGATCTGCTTGAACCGCTTGTTCTATCTGATCTAGATCCAGATCCACCAATTGAATGGTCTCATCTACTAGAACCGCTGGTTGTACGGGCCCGTGGAAGGCCCCGGGGTTCTAGAAATCGAGAGATCTCAGGCTTCGAACGGACCGAACAAGCGCTCCGGCGGCAAGGCGCCCGGGCAGGTGCTCAGGCAGGCGCTGAGGCAGGTAGTAATCCTATTATACTAGAAGATCCTTCCTAAATATGAAAGATTAAATGCTCCAAAGCCAGCGAGTAGGCCAATATACAGTATTACCAATACGCAGTATATTACCTTCCTATCTTGGTATAGCGTGAGGTCCAAATAACTAGCGTGAGGTCCAAATAACTAGCGTGAGGTCCAAATAACAATTCCCTTATTCTATCATGAGGTTATGCTAACCCAGAGTGGGTCCTTGGCCTGTTTCGAATGGGGAATGGCCATTTGGGCTCCGAGCTAAGCCTAGTTGGGAAGATAACGACACCCGCTGTCACGGTGTGCCCTCTGGGTGCATTCAGAAGCTTAAACCGTTGCGCCATCAGCAAAAGACTAGGATACAAAGCCGAAGGCTTTCTACTGCACTCACATATATAAGCTTATTCAGGATTCAGACAGGCAGGTAGGTAGGCCCGCAGGCACACCGTGACACCCGCCTGACAGTGCCCCCTGATCATAGATCACCATGTTACAGAGAATAATTCTTTAATGAAGATTATGTACCTACACAAAACCTGAAACTTTCGAGGCTCTCCCGTGCTGTCGCACCCAACAGCCACGGTACGTGAGATAATTTTACGGCTTAATATAGGTAGATTTTGCGGATCATCCCACAATCTCTCAATTCAACTATCCCTCATCTTTCTTACAACTCTTAATCCATTTATTTCTCATCTAACCCATCATCTCTCATATAACCCATCATCTCTCTCTTTCAGAATTTCCAAATGTTTTCGAATCTTTCAAACCTGTATGCTAATGAAAAATTTGTTTGCATTCGATATTGGAAAATATAGATCTATTCTGATCCAATTTTTAATTGGAAAAGGCAAGATGGCCGAGTGGTTAAGGCGGCAGATTTAAGAGTTATTTCACGGAAATAACGAAATCCCTGCTATCGAGAGATGCATGGGTTCGAACCCCATTCTTGCCAGTTTTTTTTTCCCCTTCTTTCTCCTTCACATAAATCCCTTCTCTTTGATCGCACATAAATTGCTTGGGCCTGAATAGAGTTTCTGTGCTTCGCATATTGGTTGGGGAAGGCAGTCGTTCATGTTGGACGCCAACGGATCCTACTGCAATAAGGCATCTATGCTAATCTGTTGGGGGTTCGAATACAACTGGATAGACAGCAAGCCTTTATTTCTCTACTTCATAGTTATTGGTAACTCCATTCCAGCAAAGAGGTCTACATAGTCTGGAATAAATCGGACAAAGCGCACCCAGCACTAGAGTAGCCTCCTTATTAGGGATGGTGTCCCTGAGATGAGAGTGTCAAACTAAGGGTCTTCCTCGATTAATTCCCCGGTGGGACGGCTTCTTGCTTCGTTTCCCAACTAAGCATCTAGGCTAAAGACAAGACAAGACGGAAAAATCGATATAATTTAACCCCGCAACTTCGGGCTATCACCAACCGATGGCGTCTTGGCCACCAGTATATTATGAAACGGGCCTCTTGTCTACTAATGAAATAAGTGTGTCTCGGCAATTGACAGAAAAATGTTGTGTACTCGGGCTATCTCAATTCTTCTATACGGCGCAATTGCCCAAGGCAAGTATATTGTGCCCGGGGGTCGTTGGCACGACACGGAGGGCAATCTGGTCAATGCCCATGCGGGAGGAATCACCTTTGACGAGGACACGGGCCGATTCTGGTGGTTTGGGGAATACAAGATTGAGGGACAGGAAGAAGGCGGAGGAGTGTCAGTGTACAGTTCCGATGATTTGGCAACGTGGGAGTCGCATGGGCTGGCTTTAAGTAAAGTTTTTAAATTGGTATAATAATAATTTGTACTAACTGTAATTAGAGCCGGTGGAGAATCACACCTATATTTCTCCAGAACATATCATTCAGCGACCGAAAGTGGTATACAGCGAGGAAGCTGATCAATATCATGTGGGTAACGCCAACCATAATCACTTTACTCCTGTCCTAATATCCGCCGCAGATGTTCTGGCACGCGGACAACTCCTCATATGGATGGCTGCTGCAAGGATTTGCCACATCTGATACCGTTGCCGGTCCGTATACCTTTGTCAATGCCACGGCTCCGATGGGGAATTGGTCGCAAGACTTTGGTCTTTTCACAGACTATAAGGACGGACGAGCATATGCGCTCTACTCGAATGGGGACAGAAAAGAGGGACGCGATGTCTATCTTACCCAGTACAATGAGGACATCACCGAGCTTGAAGAGGTGATTTACCGATTTGACAAATTCGACCTTGAGGCGCCTACAATCATTCAGACAGACAAGAGTTATTACGCGTTGATGAGTCACAAGACGGGGTATAGGCCTAACAGTAGGTAAAATCTCTTCTTTTCTGAACCACTCTGACTTCGCAGATGTCGTTGCCTTCCGCGCTGATTCCCTGGCGGGTCCTTGGTCTCAACCTTTCACGGTGGCGCCTCTCAACACGCGCACGTTCAACTCGCAGTCTGGCTTCTCATTGAGAATCAAGGGAACGAAGAAGACCACCTACCTCTATATCGGTGACCAGGTATGACGGGTCCGATTATTCGGCTCTATTATTTTGCTAAGACAAACCAGTGGGACTCAAACTCGCTATGGGAAAGCCGATACATCTGGCTACCCATGGAAATTGATGACAAGAAAAAGACGCTCGAGTTGGTCTGGAACGATGTCTACGACCTCGATGTGTATGTCTCCAAGCTTACTCGAACCTACCAACGCTAACACTTTGCAGGAAAACCGGCGAGTGGAAGCCGATCAAAGGCAAGACATACTATGGGAAAGATGCAAAGACGTCCGGAGATGCGTTCAAGCAAGAGGCAGTGAGTGTTTCCTTTGCCTCTAGTGGGGATATCTGCTCACCCCACAGAATTTCGCGAGCGACAATACCATATTAACCGGCATCTACGGTAATGACAGCACCGTCACCTTCGAAGGTATTGAAGGAACGGGCAAACCGCAGTGGGTATCATTCTACTACCAGAGTAGGTCATCATTCATTTTTGAAAGTGCAGCTTGCTGATGTTAACAGACACGGATGATATGGGATTCGGAGATCAACGTAAGCTTTATTCCCGTTTGCAGCTCGACCAGTCTAACAATTACCACAGCTGGTGGAAATCCGGATCGCATTGGAGGCTCATGGCAGCTCCGTCGCATTAGTAGTGTCGTCGTGAATGGAGATGCCTCCAACGTACAGACTCTGTATCAGCGAGATACACACAAGGGGATTATACTGTCGACCCCACTCCAGTTGACACTGGAGAAAGGTAAGCGCAATACTATTACGGTGGGGGGACTTTACAATGGCTTTGACTACAAGGGCGCGGACCTGGATCGGATTGTCGTTTATCCCCCGGAAAAATAGAAGGTAAACACGTTCGATAAATGTTCTATCGAAATGGACTAGGTATTAGATGAGTTCTCAGTCTCGTTTTGCGTGGTTGCAGCCTGTTGGTTGTCTGATATCATATCCTGTGGCCAAAGATTGACTGGCATCTCTGTCCGAAAATATTAAGGAAGCTGATCAGGTTGAGCATTTACGTGTTTCAAATGAATCTGTTGATCCCAATTTGATGAGCCATCCGAATATTATCACTGAATATAGCTCGTCTTCTATGTCTATGTCTCACATTCTATCGAGCCTTGAGCGGAATACAAATTAAAATGAGAGACGGATAATTTAAATCAGCAACTATTAATAGACACCTTCTGCATAGCTCAGTCATAAAAAGCGTACACTTCAATGAAAGTGGTGCTACTGCCAGGGCCCGATTCAACGTGTCGCCCAAGTAGCCAAAAGTCAATCCACGAGTTAGCCCTTTTGTCACGGTGTGATCCCTGGGTGCATTCGGAAGCATTAAGCGCTACGCCATCAACAAAAGACCAGGATACTAAGCCGAAGGCTTAGCACTGCATTCGCATATATAAGCTTCAGGCAGGTTCAGATCAGACATGTAGATGGCCCGCAGGCGCGCCGTGACACCTTTAGGGTTACCGATTGTCCGGTGAGGCCATTTGCCATCAATATATGGGTCAATGGCTTAACTCGACACCACGAGTTTGCCCGTTAATCCCGCATCCCAGTTTTAGACCATGAAGACATAAAAGATTGCAACTTTCCTTGTCCTTCTCCCAAAATAACGTGGTGGAAAAGATTACGTGGAAGCCATTGCAGAATGAAGCCGAGCTACACCTTAGCTTTTTTCGCCCAGCTAGGCTGTTTGTCTCTTGCCCTTGCTGAACCTGCTATAGTACGTTCGTGCCCGAATCAACAAAATAACCCCAGCCCTAACATCGAAAAAAAATAGCATGGGTCGGATCCTCATCTCACGGGAATTTCTTCCAAGAACTACCAAGGAATAGTTATAGGGACAGTAATTGTAATATTTAGACAACAAGTCACCACGCACATCCTAATTATCGAACCAGGAAGGCGACAGAACAACCTACAAAATCATCTGTCCACCTGCAAGCTTGGTCCTGCTGTCACCTTCATCGCTGGTCCTAGCTGTAAGTCAAACGCCCGTCACTTGATGTAAAAAATACTAATTCATTTATCAGCATATGGGATAACATTCAATAACAGCTTACGGTATGTTACACTACACCTGCAATACATAGTCTGCATATACTAGTCACTACCGTACTCATCTTCAACCTAGGTACTCCAGCTCTAGCTACGCATTCACTAGTGCTCCGACGCCCACGACTACGACATGTTCATATACGAATTCATGGCTGATTCGACTAAGCACTGGAAGTACCGAAAGTACTTATGTTGTCCCTGAGTCCTGGATTGGGGTTCAGGAGATATATTCAGTTACATTGCTGGATCTATACTTCAACTACCTCTGCCCATGGCCCAACGGGCAAACATCGTACGCTCTCTAAAGGGACTTGAAGAGATCATAGAGCTGGTTGAGGTAGATGTGTTCGACCCTGCTCCCCAAAAGGGGTGGTACTTTTCTGGAAAATTCGGTCCGGGGAAGGATCCAATTACTGGATCCAAGTACCTGCGAGAGCTGTACCTAAAGACCGATCCAGAGTTCAAGGGAACAACAATACCGGTTCTATGGGATAAGAAAGCAGGTGAGTAATCTTATTGATAAATGGTTCTGTTGAGACTACACAGTGGTGTTGCTATGGTCAGTGCAGTCAACAATCATCAATTGTGTCATCCTATTACAGATTTTTCTCCTTCAACCGATTGATCTGCTACCCCTATATTAGATTATATCGTTAATAACGAGTCAAGCGAAATCATCCGTATATTGTACCCAGCGTTCGACAGCTTACTCCCAGCTCCTTTACGCGAGACCATCAAAGGCCCGACAGGTCTACTACCGACACATCTATGCAATGAGATCGGAGAAATTAATGAATGGGTATATAATACAATTAACAACGGCATCTATAAGTGTTGCTTTGCCACTGTTCAAGCTGCCTACGACGATAACATCTACCCTCTCTTCGAGTCCTTTGATCGTCTAGAAGCACACCTCGCGGACCCGAAGTACAGCGGGCCTTACCTGTTCGGCGACCACATCACAGAAGCCGATATGAAGCTCTACCCTACCTTGATACGATTCGACGTCGCCTATTATATGGCCTGCAAGGCCAACCTGAACATGATCCGATACAGCTACCCAAACTTACACAGGTGGTTACGCACACTATATTGGGACCAGAGTGGGATGGCGCGGCCAGCTTTTAGCAAGACTACCAAATTTGAGAGGGCAAGTCAAGCTCATGGAGCTGCTTTGTTGCATTGGCTATACAGCAGTAGCATCCTAAATGGTTTCTCTAGCTTAGGTATCAGTATCGCACATTTACAGGAGATATGATAGTTCCTGTCGGCCCTAAACCAGATATTTTGCCCATTTTAAATTCCAGATTCACGCATGCAAAGATAATGTTAATTTCATTTCGCGCATCGTTAGTGACTCAGGATGGCATG